AACAATATAATTGAATTGCAAATTAAATTTATAACCTATCAATAACTAATTTAATGTTTTCAATAAGAACCACTGTGAATATTGAATTATATAATCATGTAATGTTTGATATAAAAATAAAAAATTTTACTTATAAAAGTATAAGTGTGATATACAGTTTTATAGAAAATTGACTTGAAAAACATATCGGATTCAATTGATTTGGATTAGGCTATCTTGGATTTCAGGTTTTTTAGATCGGGTTATTTCGAGATTCAAGATAAAAGAGTAAGTTAATGACTCACCTACACGAATCTCGAATTTGATCACATGAACCCAACTTCCTATTAATTTTCTCTTTATTTAAAATTTCCTAAATTTCTTTATATTTTTCTTAAACAAAGTCTAATACTAATAAACTATTTTGGATATGAGTATTTTATATATTCTTACTTGTAATAATAGAAAACTTGAAATCTTGAATTTAATTTTTAAGTAATCTATTACAAAATTAATAAAATAATGTTGTTCTAACATTTACTTCAATGTCCTCCTCAACTTTTATATGATGTTACTAATAACTAATACATGATATTGTAAGATTTCAATATTAACAAGTATTATTATTTATATTTAAATATCCTTATTCATTGAATTTAATAAACTAATTATTTATTATTTATTAATAACCATCCATAAAATAAAATATATTTCGTTATTATTTTTTTGTGTTTGATACATCAAGAATTTAAATAGTTCTAAAACAATAAGAGAGTAGAAGGGAATCCATGTTGCAGTATGCATTCCTTAAAACATTAAGAGCATTCCCCTCCCGAAGAACATGTTGCAGTATGCATTCCTGAAATTCAAACATCAAACTTCTAATATCCATCAAAATGGCTACAGACAAATTATCTGGCTCTCTTATCTCAATTATGAATCTAACTACCACAAGGGAATCCATCTCTGCCACAACACGATCAATTCCAAGTGATTTGCATAACTTGAGTCCTTCTCCAAGACCCCATAATTCTGCTAGAAAAATGGATGCACAACCAACATTAACTGCAAAACCAGAGATCCAATTCCCTAAGAAATCTCTAATTAGACCCCCTGCACTTGCAGAATTGCTAGCAACATTGAAAGAGCCGTTTGAGCTTGTACAAGTTCAAGATTCCATTCCCTGTTTGAATTAATGGTCTCCGATACCAACAAAGAGGGGAGAGTAGGAGGTTAAAATTATATTAATCATATATTATAATAATTGAATTATTTTTATACATTTGTTATGGTGAATCGATGTGAATATTGAATTATAAAAGCATGTAATATTTGAAATAAAATAGAAAATTTAACACAGCCAACATTAACCACAATTCCAAGTGATAACTTGAGTCCTTCTGGAAGACCCCATAATTCTGC